GCCGCCGACAGGTGAGTGCCGGCGGGCAGGACGTGACCCCTGGGATGGGCTACGTGCTGGGTGTCCCCACTGGGCTCCCATCTCCTCCAGTGCTTTTTTTTTCCTCCCGTTTTCAGTTTAATTGCAATGTAACGAGCTGGTTTATCATGGTGGTTTTGCTCCGGGGGTCAGTGCGATGATGCTCGTTGGCTTACAGAGAAGAAAAGCATTTGTTGGGGGAGGTGGGATCCTCAAATTAACCTCATTGCTGTCACCCTTGGCCATGGCAGAGCCATCCTGGGCTGGATGCTGTCGACGGAGCTTGACCCAGTTGAGATGGGGGGGAGCTGCTTCTGGAGCCAAACGAAAGGCTGACCTTTCACTCCCCATCCCAAAATGGCAGTGGTGCTCAGCCAGAGGGTCTCAGACCCCCCCCCAGGAACTGCAGAGGGCTGAAAGCCCTCACCCCTTTGCTTTCTGTGCCCCACAGCCCCAGCGAGGAGCCGGGGAGCCCCCAGCAGTCCAAGCCCAAGCAGGTGAGAAAAAAATCCTCACCCCACCCCCACCCCGGCCCCTGTGCCACTGTCCCCTGCTGCAGGCTGTCCCCAAGGGCTGGGGACACCGGAGACCCCCAAACCCCAGTCCCACACTGAGACCGGCTTGGGGCTGGACGGGCTGCTCCCTCGGGGTGCTGCAGCCCTGGGGGGACATGAGCTTTTGGGGACGCCCCCTCCAGAGCAGGTAGGTAGAGGAAATCCCACCACGCCCTCTTGCTCCTTTGTGCATCCTTCCAAACCTCCTCTCCATCACTTCGAAGCACCGCCTGAGGTGGGCTCTCAGTTCCTAATTAGCACTTTAATTAAGCCTATCAGTTAAGCTGTCAGCCATGACTCACTTTCCCCAGGCCGTGACCCCGAAGGCCAGACCCCCCTCACCATATTTTGGCAAAGCCCTTGGGTGCCACTTGGCCTCAGAGGGGTCTCGGCAGCAATTTAATCGACCACCTGATTTAATCAGCGGCCCCTCCTCAAAGGGCTTCGTTAAGTAATGAAGCGAGTGGCCGTCCTCCCCCCCAGCTGCTTAAGGGATTAAAGGATGCGAAGGAGCTTTTCGGTGTGAGCTGATGACATGGAAGAAACCAGCCGGTTCCCAGCTCTGCCGTGGGACCCTTGGCTTCCCCCCACCCAAATCCACAGCGCTGGGATCCTGCTGGGACCTGGCTGGATTTTCCCTCTTGCAAAACACATTCACTCACTGTGGTGGGACATCTGGGAGGGACGAAACCTCTGTGAGGGGGAAGGTGCTTTGTCAGATGGTGGGTGCCTTGGTGCAACTGGATTTGCTTAAATCACTTTCTGAGGGCCCCGAGCGGACACCAGCTCCCCAAATATCTCCTGTCCGGAGCCAAGTGCTGTCCCACATGTTCCGTATTTGGTAAATCGGGGTTATTTATAGCCCCAGCTAACCGGGATTAGGTGTGCTGTGCCTAATCCCCCCACTTCCCCGCTCCTGCTGACCTCCATCCCAGCACAGCCCCACAGCCCCTTGCCTTCGACGGGAGCCCTTTGCGGGGGCGAGAGGAGATGGAGGTGTGGAGCCAGGCTGCCTGCCCGTCCCCATGTCCCCTGTCCCAGCTCATGTCCCCTGGGATGCCTGCTGGGAGATGAGCTGGTGCCCAGGGTGGCTCTTGGCCGGGGTCCCTATGGCCCAGCGTGGCTTGTCCCTCCGTGCCAGCACGGTCCATGGTGTCAGGGCAGTGCCAGCATCACATCCCTCATCCCT